TAATGATATTAGTGTATTCATTTACTGTCATAACACTTATTGATCAATCCCATGAAGACGTTTTGGAATGATTCATTTGAGTAAACAGTAAGTAGACATAACATGAAGCTGTTTGAAATTCTTGTTATGATTATTAATTAGGCATCGCGTTTAATTAAAACATTTAGCCAAGTATTTAAATTCGAATCACTAACAGTCGTATTTTTCTTTTCAACAGTCTGAATAAGAAATGAATTTCACTTCCTGTGTTTTAAACTACCAGAAAATTTGTCAAAACTTTAAGACATTTATATATCTGGTTTCATATCCTCTAGCCATTGATTAACTGATCAAGTAGGTGATATGTCTGCTGCATTAAGATTTCATTCACTTATTTTGTTTATTAATAAAGATAGAAATAAGCAAAAGAATTAACTCTTTTAAGAAATATCAGTTAAGTCTAGCAAGTAATCTCATTTTCCTGAGATTGTACACATCCTGAAGATTGTTATCTAATCTTTCGTCTCAGTTATGGTAAAAAGTATGTATCTAGTCGTCATACAATATTGTTATGTTTGTACTATCCAATTAATTAAATTAATCTTAGAATGAAGTATAGTAAAAATAATAAAAAAATAGAGGTAATTATATACATGTAGTTGAAATTATTCATCGTATATATTACTTACTTGTATTATTCACCGTTTCACTACTATCAGAATTCATGGGTACATAATCAGTAGTCACATTGAAATATTTTTTTCTTTTATTACGTTTCTTTCTAATATTTTGAAAATATTCACTCACATTAATAATGTTTCCATTGAGTTTTGTATTAACACCATTTGTCCCATTATTTACATGATAATCTTCATTCATATAGTCATTTTCTAATAGAACGCATTCTTCTGATTGGGAATGTGAATTGGAAAAATACATATTGTCTAAAGGGAATTCATTCACGATTGGGTAATGACACTTGAATAAACTCTCTTTTTTTTCTATTAGCATGTATACATTTGTGTATGTAGGTATGTTTATATTAGTTTATGGTAATAAATATGTTCTTCTTTGTCCTATGATTCTTTGTCTTTGATAGTTTCTTTAGAGATATTTATTACTGAAGTATATGTTATGGAAATTTATCTAAAATTTCTTCCTTTTAGTTTTCTTCAGTGAAATTTTCTTCCATGTCAGATAGTAAATGTACTTTATGAAGTGAAGTTTTTATATTCTTTCATAAAGTATAATTATTTATATTAAAATAGAAATAGAAATAAAAGTGTATATGCACCTTCAATAAAATTAACATCTAAAACATGTGTTTTTATCTGATAATCTAATATGAATTGAATCAGTTAACATCATGACAGTCTGTAACTTGATTGTGACCTTTTTTTAAGTAAACTAAGTTAAACAATAAGTTATATATGTACAGATATTTAGTAAACATTAAAAATAATGGTGAACTTGAATGACTCTTAAAATGACCATGAGAAATTCTTGGGTTTATACGGCCAATCAGAAAACAAAATATAAATGAATGATCTATGAATAAATTGTTTTGATACTATTAGTGAACTTTTCAACAATATTTATATGTGCTACCGTCTTGAATTGATAGAACATTCAGTAGGAATCTAGACTAAGTCAATAAATTGTATAAATGTAATTAGTTTTTATGGTCTAGCTTCAATTGACTCATTATTTCAACCATTAAAATTTTTGTTTTGCCTACTTGATATTCTATGATCAGTCAAATATCAGAATGGGTTTTGCGGAAATTTTTAGAAATTTCACTGGTTGAAATCATGAGTCAATTGAAGCTAGACCACCATGGAAAACCTGGAAGCACTGGACGGCCGTTTCGTCCTATTATGGAGCTCCTCAGCAGTGCGCATCCACGATCCAGCACCCCGCAAGATTCGAACCCAGGACATACTGATTCCGCTCGCGAGCACTTAACCACTAGACCACTGAGCTGGCCGGCATCCAACGGTGTTGAGGTTTAACTTCAACCAATCCACGAAGTTGCGCCACCGTATACCATTGTCTTCAGTGAGCTGATATCTCACAACAGACCTGTTTGAACTCCACTGTTAAGGGCTTCTCATTAGAACTTCAGGAAATGCCTCTTGAAGTCAGTCACTAGTGAGCAGTTGATTAACCACTAATTTGATGCTTCAAAACAAAATTATATTTATTCAGCATAGTCACCTGAATATTTGCAGTTATGAAAATTGAATTATTTGAAGAGTTGAGCTCTTAGAGTAAACTATAGTTGATAGGTGAATTGAAATTACTACAGTAAACTACACTTGCATTTATTCCTTATTAATTTTGGTGGTTTAGTGAAAAATTTGTTTAAAAATAGTCAATAGCTGAAATAGCATTACTGGAATTATAGTTTCAATACCTTGGAAACACATACTTATCGATTCACCAAAGTTATTCTGTTTAACATTTATTAATACTGGGTGTATGTTGAACTTTTCCTTTAACTACAGAAAGTATTCACACTTGAAAATCTCACGATTTTAACATTTCACTCGGAAGGTTTAACATGAACTCCAAGAAGCAGAATACAGTGTTATCTACTTAACAATATATGATATTGAGATGGTGGAGAAATTTGTAGCTCAGGTGGACGATTTTGATGGAGTTTTGTTCTCTGAGCTGGATGGTTTGGTCGTGGAGCTTTCATCGTTCTTCTGAACGACATAATCAGCACAAACTTGAGTTAAACTTCTATCTGAATATCAAAATATATGATATACTAGTAATGATTATAATGTACAAATGACAAGTTTTCTAAACACATTTCAATTATATTAATAACATTTCGATAGACTAGATCTATACTATTTACATTCGTTATACAATAGTATTTATATAAAATGTCTATCATTGCTACTCTGATGAAAAACCGATTTCGGTGAACTAGAAACATTTCTAAAATCCATGTTGATTTTACAGAGATTGATATAAACATTTCATATTTCAAATGTGTAAGACTTAATGATTGTTTCATTGCAAACGGTAGTTGGCTGGAAAGCAATTTGATATGATGAAGTAGCTATCAAAACTAAAATGTGATGATGAGTATTAAATATCAAAAGCGAACATAAATACTGTTATTCTGGTCGATGTGTAATAAATTGCAAGAAACGTGTGTTACTGAATTCACTCCTAGTCCTAGTTTATATTCAACACCGAAGTATTCACTTATGATTTACATATTTTAACAGAAATCAAAAAAATTCTGTCCTTATATCGGTAACGGTAAAACAACTAACCCTTACAAAATGATACAATCTGTTTACCTGTTTTTATCTCCTTATTTGCTAATGTGTTATATTCAACTTAATTTGCCGAATTCTGACATACATTGAGCCATGAGAACATTAAATATTCTTTGGAGCAAAAACCACATTCACACTATCAGTATCATTGTTGTGATAATGAGGTATGGCAACTTAGATGGATGCATATATGTGCCTGGTTTTACGTTGTAGCCGACTGACTGACCTATAATTAGTTTTATGTATTATAGTTGATTACTTTCTGCTTTTTTCTTCAATCATAAATTTATTTAAAATTATACAAAATACGTTTATTTTTACCTATTCCACTAATTCATACTAATCTTTCAAGTCTACTGTATCGATTAGTTAGATTGGAATAAACTAATTATTATCTATGTATGAAGTAGTGACATTAACTTTTTTAATGTACAATATATAAAGCAATATATTTATAGTAACTGAATCACTGTTGTTGTCTTTTAAACTCTAAAAGAAAGTAATATGGGGACAGTTTGAAATAAATTGAACACAAATAATCAATGTTATTTTAATGAATTATATCGTTTCTTACAAAAATGTTAGGCTGTTGAGTTTGCTTACATTGGCGAATGTCAATGGTTTATGACAATCAAACTTCGGATATTGCAAAATCGAAAGGCTCTATAGTAAAAATCTTGGTGTGTGTATGCAATTTACAGGAAAATAAAGGCTGCGAGCATGAATATTTGGGCTACTTGTCCCTGCCATCTAGATAATTCAACAACTTATCTGTCTTTTGTTTGTCTCAACAGACCACTATGTCAATTAATTAAACAATGAATTCAGTTAGTATAAAGAACACCTAGAGACATCGTGGTTACTGTCAATATACTTCGAAAAGAATACACATTATTCAGATGTCGATCATTGAACTGCCAATATCTAATTGGCGATCACTCAATATTTATCGTCAGGATCGATGAAGAAACAAGAAATGGAAACTTGTTGAAATAGTTTGTGCTAAGAATTCTATACTGTACCAAAAATATAGTATAGAATAAGGCTAATAGTAGATTAAAATATAAAAAAATAATAAATCAAGTTATGTAGTTAATCGAATGCTAAAATATTTAAGTATATGTAGATCATTATATTGATGTTGGAAAGAGATTTTTATACTTAATTGCACCTCAGCTAAAACATTATAATAACTACTCATTAGGGATAATATATCCATTAATTTAACGCCATTTGTGTGACCATTTATTCATTTGTATATATATAATCTCTTGACAACTGAGCCGAAATCGGACGGTATCAATGTCTAACTAACCAATCCATAATAATTATCATGTGCTCACTAGTGACTGGCTTCAAGATGTGTTTCCTAGAATTATAATTAGTAGACATAATCAGTGGTGTCAAAACCGTGTCACGTATGAGGCAATATTGTGCATTGGTTGAGTTGGTCGAGAGGATAAGTATTCGCATGCGAAACCGAAGGTCCTGGGTTCAAATCATGCGTGAGAGATCCTGGATGAGCACTGTTGAGGAGTCTCAAACTAGAGCAAAACGGACGTTCATTAATTTCAGGTTTTCAATGATGATCTACTTTAAATCGATTCGTGAATTCATCCATTACACTACTACAAACTCCATAAACCCTCGTTCTGACAATGCAATTACTTTACATCATTTATTTTTAAAACGACAACAAGATAATTATTATATATAGGACTTAACAAAACACTGTTATCAATTTTCAACTGTATTGAAATTTCTCATTTACCACTATTTGTATTATTGGTAATAGTTAACATTTCAAGATATGAATTCTGTTAAAGAAAATTATATGGAGTAAACATTTAAATAATAACATTAAGCTTTTCTTTTATATTCTTAAGAACATTTGATTTGAGGTTACAAATAATCTGAATAATGAAGTAACATCAATATAATTGTAAAATGAATGTATAGTTTAATAGGCTAAATAAAAACTATAGAAACTAATTGAATTAAGATGAACACACAGTATAGAACTCATTGAATATTGAAGTTATTCATTATTATTATGAATAAACAAGAAACAATTAACAACTACGTTGACATTTTCTTATATCAGTTTGACAATTAGATTTACATTTGAATTCTTGAGAATTCCGATGACATTTCTGTTTGCAATTTTCTCCAATTTTCCAACAATCATTTATGCAATTTACCCTTGGTGACATTACATCACTCAGAATTGATTCGGAAGTCAGCATAATTATAATTAGCATAGGAATAATCTATGAATATAAAAGAGTTTCATTAATATATATTAATATATTAATAAATCAATTTACTTGAATTAACATAGCCAAGAAGAACATTTTATACAAATAAAAATTGTTTATGAACTTGCCTTCATTTCAATTATAAAACAATTTTTTGTGGCCGTTGATCTGTCTCCATTTAGTGCGTATGGATGTTTGTTATCGCCAATTCTCGTATATCATCGTCGACTTAAATCACGTTAGTCAATAACGGAATTTAGATAAGTCGATTAACGAGAATGGCCTTTGAATACATATATTTTGTATGTAAAGTGAATGTAACAGAACAGAGCAAAATGACAAGCAGGGAGGATGGCTGGGAAGCCAACTCCTCTTTCGATGAAACGAGACTCAACATTTATAGTCAGACAAAATAAAGCTACAGACATGTGATTAATGGAATAAGAAGGGCACACACATATACGCTCATATAAAAACAGTCTAGATTGATAAGCGAATAAATAACAAGGTCAATGTATGGCTCAAGTAAAATGAATAGAATGGGATGTCCGAAAGCTTGAATAAGGTATATGGGCTTGGCATAATAACTGACACTACAAATTTAAAGATGATAACGAATATACATTTATTTGAATTGTCGTAAAATATTCTCTTAACACTACTTTCCTTATGCTTTTTACCGAATTTCATTGAATTTGCAGAAAATGTCAGGGTAATTTCCAATTTGTTAATTGTCATTCTGTTAGATAGTGAAAGATAGTTGCGAATAGGACGTGAATCTAAATTTCGGGTTCATTAGCACTTGTCAGCAGTGTCTCTGCATCGGTCATTGTCGTAGTTAGATACAATAAAAGAGGTTTTTAAACCATGACTTAGTAGCTGTCATGTTAAGATATTTTTATTGATTGATCATTGAGTATTAAATAATGTCATACTAGTATTTCCCCTGATGCGACAGAATTCTGTATTTCTTTAGCACTCTAAAACATGCAGCTAAAATACGAAAACTGAATACTTTAGCACCTTCGTAGTTTGATGGTATTATAAACGTAAAAATTCCTTATGAATTTAAGGATGTTATCGTCTATTCAGAAGCTTTGTTATATGATATTCTTTTGGTTTGATTGAAATAAAGATATTGTTTTTAAACAGTTTAATAGAAATAATAAATACAAAATACATTGTAATATATTAGATGGTACAATACACTGGCACATTTGGAATCACGAGTTAATCTAAGATAGACCACCACTGAAAGTCCGAAAGCATTAAGCGGCTGTTTCGTCCCAGTATGGGACCCCGTCGTGTACATACGCGTTTCCGAGGGCAAGACTCGAACCCGGATCTTCGGTCTCGTGTGCGATCGCTCAACCTTCAGACCACTGAGCCAATATCCAACGGTGTCTAACTTCAATCAATCCATGATCTTGTGCAACCGCTCATTCATTTTCTGTGGTGCGTACCTGTTTCACACCAGACACATATTGGACTTCACTGGTCACGGCTTCTCACCAAAACTTCTGGAATTACATCCCTTAGCTAGTCAATAGTAGGCACATGATTGTTATCAGTATGGTGACTTGTGAAGATTGTAGTATTTTCACAGTTGTGATAAACAGTATAATAAGTTTATTAATAAATACACATATTCCTTATAGTTTAATCTAACCAGAGAGAGTAAACCACTAAACCTTTTACTAAAAGTGCTTCAAGGAAGGTATATATAGATGCTGTTAGTCACAGCCCCCAAATGCCCTGGTATGGTCGAGAGTGGGATGGGCCCGCCCTCCCTCTCGAAATGCTCTCACACGGCCACGCGTATACAGCCTCTGCCGGAGAAGACCTACACACTACCTTCTCGTGGTGGGGGTGTTGTTTACGAAAATGAGAGGACGAAAAGCGAATGTCCGGCGCTTTAACCGGATTCCAAACCAATGGTGCACATGGGCTCCAGTATCCTGAGGGAACAAATAGCGTATGAACCAATCGTTGAATACCGGCTACCATGGGACGGTATCTCCTCACGATGCTCCTTCAGGTCGAAGGCTCGGGGTGTGGCCCCCTAAGAAAACCACCTGCTTCGGTCTGGGCATCCGAGCAGTATCATAGCCCACACACAAATATGATGAACTGTCGATAATTATGGGAAACACTTTTCTTGCTTCAACTAATAATCAAACGATTTACATTATTATTATTACTATTGTTATTATTTACAACGTCATTTATTCACTCTGTCTATCCTTATTTTTCGACTTATACAGCAGCTCGCCTATGGTGGCAATTCGGTTCTATCTGAACGTTCTCTAGTAGAGACGTTATCAGATATGGCTCAGAATAGAAGCCAGTGGCGATCCTGCTGTAACATTTTACTTTCTTCATAAAAAGTGGTTGCTTCTTTCTTAACTGAAAGATCTCTTCTGAGTGTACGTTTCTGTTTCCCCCATTATTATTACACTACCTTACACTAATCTGTTCGTTATCGTTTTTTACGCTCCTTACCTTTTTTTCCTTCTCTGTAAATTCTCATTGTTTTGTGTGGCGCATATATATTTGGTGCCCTCTTGTACCAATATTTATGTGTTCAAATAAATAAATAAATAAATGTTAGTCATATACAAATAAACTGATTGTTTTTAAAAAGATGTAAGACAGATTTTTCAGTGATAGACCCTCAACATCGAATGAATCTTCTAGATTAACTTAAAGCGACTGTCTTTCGATTACATAGTAACGTTTTTAGAAGAATTATCATATAGTAGTTACTTCATCGCACAAAGTAAATTAAAATTTAAAATCAGACAGGATTTTTAAAAGTAGTATGCAACATATGAAAGTGGATAAAAAGTTAAGTTTAAAATAAATGTTTTAGTATCTTTCACCATAAATAAGCTAATTAAGAACCAACGTTTATTTATCCTACTTAATTATAACTGATGGCGTATCCGACAGATTGCGTTTCTTCTCATCGAATTATCTGTGAACCCCAAAAGAGCATACTATTAATTCGGATGTCGAATTTTGTACTAAAAGCAAGGCGTTTTACTAGTTTGGTTTATAAGGAAACACTAGTTACAAATTTATAATGAGATTTATTAATGTTAACCACATTGTTATATCATACATGCTAGGTGTTTGTCAAATCTATTTAAATAAAACTGTTCTACAAAATTAAATAATGTCAATGAAGTTACTTTAAGAAAACCTTTTTATTACCATGATAAATTAAACTAAAATGGAGTAACCATCCTATAGGAAATCAATTGTATTATCAAGTAAAATAACACCCTGTTTTTGTTTTACAACAAGTAAATGTTATTTGGTCTCAGTTAAATGAATATCCTTTTTATTAAAATGAAAGTTACATTATGGTACTCATTTTAAATGTGCATTAATTTTTTTTGAATGACAATCCATATAAATGACTATTCATACTACTACTCATATCTAAGAATGAGCTGAAGGCAATTAAATAGGACTTCAATTTTTGTGTATCAAGAGAGTTTATCTTTTAATTTACCATTGTGATTGTCTTTTCATTCTAATAGAAATAATATGTCTGTTTTCTAGTTTATAAATTTTCTCTTTAACAAATATATAAATAACCATCTTTTCATATATTTATCAAATTATGCTAGCATTTCGAGCTAAAGATGGGCAGTCGCTAGCAGTGGAATCCAGAACCCGCGGTTCCGTTCTATTTGGGACTCGTCAGCTGGATGTACCTGCATCTCAGAGTTGATATTCACTCTGGATTCCACTGCTAGTCATTATTCATTTTTGCTTATAAAGCTTGTGACTCGAGAAAATATCGAGACAATCCTCACAGGGTGCACATACGTCAACAAGAGACTGCTCAATCGCAGTCCTAAATAACAATGGGAAGTTACAACAACAACAAGTAAACAACACCGATTGAATTTAATATGCTATCATTCGTGGTCGAGCCTAATGTTTTTTTACCACAAATAACAAGTCAAGGTACGAGTGAACAAATATTTTATATCATTCAAAGTACCTACAGTGAGCAATTAAGTACGGATATTAAAAATTCTATTTTAGTCAGATGTAAGTCTGTAATTTAGTCTCTATAAAATGAATGGTATCGATACTTTCAGTAAATCAACAATTAAACATATTCTGAAATAATTAACATACACGCTATTTGTGACCCACTTCGAGTAATCGGAATCTGCTACTAATAATCGTTTAATAGAACAGTAATTCATAAATATTTAATAAAATTATTATAGCAAAAGCAGGTCTTTATAGTATACTTCCCAATATTGCTGTTTTTACAAGGTTTAACTAGTAGTAATATATTATCACTGTTTACATGATAAGCGTCTTAATTATGAAGTAGATCCTGTAAATAAAATGTTTCAAAATCTATATTTGAAAGAAACTCACTAAGTACGGTATTAAATCAAACGTGAAGCTTTCTGATATCAGTTAACTTATATCAGATTCTATTTAGTTAATATTGAAGTTACAAGAATACCAATTCTGATATAAATGGTTAGAGATAATCGACTGAATACCTTGAACCTTACTTTCGTCCTGTGTGACATTCTACAGTGAAGCACATAGTTGTTGCTTAAAAGTTCAGTAGTACAGTTTTGGACTGATCAGCTGATGGAGCTCAAAGTCTTTAGTGGGATATCATTTAATTAGAGAATATAAAAATACCTGATACCAGTATTTTTAATAGAAATAATGTATACAGCATCAAAACGGTTACATCTGTCAATCAAAACTAAATCAATAAAGGATCACTAACTTAGACTTCTTTTGACTGAATATGAATGAACGCTACTTACACTAAATTTCTATTCTCTTCAAGTTTGATAATCTTTTTGTAAAATACTATAATTTACGCTGATAGCTCGTATAATTTTCTCAACATAAATGATCTGACAAATATTATTCATAACCCTATATTCAGTTATCAAGTTTAATGGATTGAAATCTGTTTACTAAAGTTTTATAATATTCCTGAATTGAATATTTAAAAAAGATACGTATCAAACTAGGATAATATTTCATGTTAACTTATTTGTAATAATACGTTATAAGGTCAAAATAATTTTATTTTTCAAAAGATATCACTAACATAAGTTCGAATACCAAACTACTTTACTTTTATTTAGACAACTAAATTAGATCTTTTCCACTTCCGAATAATAAGTATGATTCATATCTTAACACACAAATTCATGACATATTTTAAGTATCCAACAGAATATTTTGTAACCTTAACTCAAATGATCGTAAACTTATACATTACATACCACGAATTCGTCTACATAATGCTCATTAAAATAATCATGAGAAGCCAGTAACTAACCAATGATTTCCACTAATCTTCCGTTCAATTAGTAAAATGAATTCATGAAAATTTCTAACGAAAGACCAAGATATCAGCTTAATTTTCATTTGAATAAGTCAAATTAATAGGTCAGTGTATTATCACTTAATGATTTGTATCTATCTAACACCCTTAGTCCATGACATATATTACCTGTTTTAAAAAGCTGTCATCATAAACATAATTTCAAATTAAAACTTATGTGACCATATATATGAGACAACTTTGCAGTAACAAAGAAAATAAATCATTTCAATAATATTAAAATACTGGTTAATAAGAGATAACATTAAGGTTAATCAGTCTCATGCTTCTAACCAATCAAAAACCAAAAAAATAAGGAAAAAGAAACTTCTTTCCTCTATACACCTATTTAGGTTTTACTATTCATACCACAAGAATCATAAAACTTGTTTATATCACAGTCAAAAAAAAGAAAAGAAAAACTTTTATTCGATTTTGTAAATTGAAAGCTGGACATAATTCAGCTAAAGATAACCATTCATAAAGATTTTTTTCTTTTTTTCAAGAATTAAAATGTTTTACCAATAAGATATGATCAAATACATATGAAAGATTATAAACATGTCAAATATTATTGTAAGTAAAAACAACCATTATTTGGGAATTTTTTTGTAAGGCCCGTTAATTTTTATCGTCGTTTAGATTGGATGATGTTGTCGAACTGGCTCTCAACTTTAATGAACCGAGATATGACTCCAATTGGATCATATGAATGTTTGTTATCACCTATTCTCATAAATAATCATCGACTTAAATCGCGTTAGTCAATAACGAAATTAAATAAGTCGAATAAAGAGAATGGACTTATGAATACATATATTTTGTATATAAAGTGAATGGAATAAAGAGAAGAGAAACGACGAGAATTGGAGATGAACGGTAAGCCAACTCTCCTTTAGTCAAGCGTTAATTAATAGTTGTAGTTACACAAAAGTAAGCTACAGATATGTGATGAGTAATGGGATAAGAAATGTACGCACACCTACGCGCTCATATAAAAACAGTCAACATTGATAAGCGAATAATTAACAAGGTCATAATGTGACTCAAGTAGAATGAATAGAATGGGCTGTCCGAAAGCCAGAATAAGGTATATTGGCTTAACATAATAACCGACACTACAAGTTTAACAATTATGAAGTATTGGATGTTACTTAACCAGTATGTACTTATACCAAATAAAACGTATCAAAGTATATGTCAAAAGTATAGACATGATATTGATTTAACACTTATCATCAAAAACGATTTAATAAACTGATAGTTTGGTAAAATTAAATATAGATACCACCATTTAACACCAAGTTTAAGTCTACTAATTTTAAGTTAAAATTCATTGAAATAATCATTACTTCATGTGGTTTGCAGATTTGTTGGGTATAGAAGTTTTATTATCATTTATTTCATATAGATTATAGCAAAAACTAGTTTAAACATTAGGCGATCTGCTTGAATATTTGAGCTATCAGTTCCTGTCATTTGGGTATTTCAACAAGTTATTTGTTTTGTTGTTTATTTAACACATCATTATTCCTATTAAACGTATAATCAATACGGGAGCGTTTTTGAAACATTTATGACATTTTGCCATACAAGTTAGGAAAGAGAACAATTAGAGACATCATGATTGCTAGCAATATTCATCAAAACAATATATATTCATCAGATGTCGATTTCTAAACTGCTAACATCTAACTGGTGACCACTCAATATTCATCTTAAGAGTCGATAAAGAAATGACAAACAGAAACTTGGAAGCAATGGACGGCCGTTTCGTCCCAGTATGGAACTACTCAGCGGTGCACATCCACGATCCAGCACCCCGCGATGTCCGAACCCACGACCTATCAGTCTCACGCGCGAACGCTTAGCCATTGGACCACTGAGCTGGCCAGCACCCAACGGTGTTAGTGTTTAACTTCAACCAATCCATGAAATTGCGCCACCGTATACCATTGTCTTCAGTGAGCTGATATCTCACAACAGACCTGTTTGAACTCCACTGTTAAGGGCTTCTCATTAGAACTTCAGTAAATGTCTTTTGAAGTCAGTCACTAGTGAGCAGATTATTATTATTAGAAGGGATATTTTGGAGAGTTAAGAAATTTCAATAGTTGAAATCATGAGTCAAATGAAGCTAGACCATCATGGAAAACCTGGAAGCGCTTAATCATTAGACTACTGAGCCGGTATCCATTGCTGAGAAGTTCCATACTAGGACGAAACAGCCGTCCAGTGCTTTCAGGTTTTCCATAGTGGTCTATCTTTTATTGACTCATGATTTCAACTATTGAAATTTCTAAATTCTCCAGAAAACCCCTTTTGATAAAAACAGAAACTTGTTTGAAATAGTTTATATTGAAAATTCTATGTTATACAAGAAAAATAAAATATTGAATACAGCCACTAATAATAATAATAATAATAATAATAATAATAATAATAATAATCAAGTAATCCTGATAAGGCAATTTGATATATTTACACTTTTTAATATAAAACTACATTTTATTATCGTATGATTCATTGAATTAAACAACATTGTAATATGAATTTTGATAGAAATGATACATAGTAAAATAATCATGAGAATAAGTTTGTAGAAACCAATATTAAAGTGCTTAGTTATTAAAAAATTAAAAAAAAATAAGTACCTTTGATAAATAATTTTCTATGAATGTACTTTTAATCTATTTATATATCAAAAGAGAGATTATTAAACAATAAAAATCATTTGTATCTTTTATTAAATCTAAGTTTCATCTCTACTTTCTTATTTATTAATTTTAATTTACAAAAAAAAGGATTGGTCTGTTGTTTTAACAAACGTAATTTAGGTGCATGAAACCTTTAAATCTTACAAAAGTTTGTAAATGATAAAATGGTAGTACGAAGTAATTCATAAAATTGATCAATATATTTTCCACTTTATAATATAAAATACAAGTAATGGTTAGTCTACTTATAAATTAGTGCATGTGCGAGTGTGGATAATTTATACTACATGTGTACTCTTTATGAAACGTTCATATAAAATCCATCGTTTTATGTTAGATTGTCGGTTTAGTTTATATTTGGGGGAAAAAACCCCAACAACAAAAAATCAGTGGCTGGATGATGAGATACCTATACATATATATAGAAACTAATACGTTATTATGAAAATTCTAAATGTTGTCATACTTAAAGATATTTGTATTGAGGTTTCAGTATATATAATACGTTTGTACAAATCCGAATTGATTGAAAGGTTATTTATTATAACTTCAAGTCATATATACAATATAATTCACAATAAGATAGAATAATCATTTATCCTTAGTTTGAGATGAATTTTCAGCTCAGATAATTCACTTAACTATGGATTCGCTCACTACAGTCAAAAGGGAATGATTCAGAAATTTTAGCATATTATCAATTATGTACTCACTTTTACCGCAAACATGTTGAAACAGAGCTCAAAGATATATATATATATATATATATATATATATATATATAGAGAGAGAGAGAGAGAGAGAGAGAGGAAGAGATTATCCAGATGTTATAATAGCTCAGAATGACACTAATGTCCAAAATAAGGAATCTCATTAAACTAATGATGGTCACTGTTATTTGTCTATTTTTCCCTTCATTTCCGGAAGTGATACTCTATGATTATTAAAGTTAATTATTACAGAATTTAATTGTAATGTTAGTTAAAAACATTTATGGAGCTATTTTAAATCTATCAGCTATGAAATTAACGTATTATGTTGCAATTATAATACCTAAAACATTGATGGCCGATGAACTATGATAATTTACTACAAGCACATAATAAAATTTCCTCACTTTATTGACTGAGCTAGAATAGCTAAAACCCAAACAGCAATCAAATCTAAATAATATAGATTTAAATAATATTTAGTTATTAGATCATGTTCTTAGGTTATTATTACGGCAGGTCAACCATAGTGTACCTTACAGTAAATCCGCCTGAGTTACATCTCAATTTCTGGTACATAATCATTTACCACAGAAACACCAAATTAATTTGAGAACAGTATACAACTTAAAGTCTTAATTAAATCCTGTTATCAGTTTCATTTATATATTTAAAAGAAATGTTTAACATTAGTCGGTATTAGACAATCAACGATCGAGAAATTGAATTCTTCCAAAAAACGTTCAATCGTACTTATAATTTATGTATACATACACGACTTGTAGATAAAAGATTGTTACTGAAATTATGTACTGAATTTAGTGCGTTTTGGTCTACCATTAATCAGTTATAATTTGTTATCTTTCATTAATTTTATGAGGTGAACATCATATGGCACTATTTGCCAACTACCTACTTTTTAATAAGCGAATTTGGAGAAATATGCAAATGTTATTCTTACAATATTCAATAATTTACAGGTATACTGTTGTTTTGTTTTGCTGATTTTAACGGTATCACTAATTCTGCTTAAACAATAGAGGTTGGTTTTCACTGTGGAATTGATAATTAATAGAATAATTTGTAACTCAGCTAGGTGAATCTTCGAGAATTGCGTTCTACAATAGTAAAGGTGGATACCCTTCTTCTTACCAAATTATACATGAACACAGACAATCAGTAAGAAGATTTGACGTAATATCGTTTATATCACTGCCTACAGAAAACTACGAACAAATATATGATTGGGAAAATGTCGAAATTCTGGATACAGGAAATTACAAGTATTAGAGAATTTCTGGATACGTGAGATTCCAATCAACAGGGACAGAGATGTGTGAAAAACCAACGCGTTTCATGTTGAGGAATCAATCAGACAAAATAATCGACAGAAACCTAAGGACATTTAAAGATAATAATATAAGATAATCTGTGGACAACAAGGACATGAGAACAGAACGCTCACGAACTAATCAAAAATCTTATTATCGAGGTTGATTTTCTCCAAAATAATATTGAAAGTTTTGAAATCAAACAAGGTGACTCAAAGAACGTAAAATAATCAAAAATCAGATAGTAAACTGTCAAATTTGTATTCTATGGTAGTATACTTAGTTTTAAGCACCTGTTAGGTAGTTGTTTTCCAATGATTAAAATATTCAAATTAAAAACCATTAAAGGTACTATTAATTGACTGGTTTTTGATTGGGCTTTTATAAGTATCAATTTCATCTTATTTTTTAAACACATTCCTACTTCTGAATTATATAAGGAATCCGAGACGTCGGATAAACTAAGTCAAGAATAAAGAAACCAGACACAGTTGAACTCTATCGACCACAGCTTCTCACTAGAACTCTGAAAACTACTTCTCGGTGCTAGTCACCGTGTCGGGTGTTAGGCAGTTACCAACAAAGAAAATGGAAGATGGTTACGGATTAGTTGAAGCTAGATACTAACACCGTCGGATGTCAGCTAAGTGATCAAGAAGTTAGGCGTTCGCATGCGAGACCGGAGATCTTGGGTTTGAGTCCCACGTGCGGGATCGTGGACGCGCCCTAAGGAGGAGTCTGACACAAGGATTAGACTTTTTTCTAATGCTTCCGGATTCCCAACAGTGGTCTAAAATTGATCGGTACACGATTTCAACAACTCCCTTACTGACAGTTTTTATTTTACAAAATTTGAATCATCTTGTAATTCTAAAGAGAGAGCTTATCTAAATCATCTTCTTAAATAAAGTTGTATTTATTTTCAATTCATTATGAAGTATTTATGATATGCGATAGATAAGGCAGATTCTTGGTCAGCAGCATCATGTTATTCTATTTTTAAATATCTTCCGACAAACAATTTTCGGGATACAGTTGCACAACACATGAATACGTATGTATTTTGATTGTATATTGTTCATTCGGATGAATGAAATTTTGAACTGTAAAAGTCTATATAAAGAAAATTATCTTGCCGGCCTTGTTTAATCAAGCCAATAATTAAGTATAATTCATTTCATTGTGGTAGAAACTTATTTATACTAGTATCTACTTTGTCGATTATTTTTTTAAGTGACAGGTAACAATTACGTAAAAATGTAAAACCCTGGCAGTCATTGTAACCAGTTACGTTTTACTCACCAAATTATTTAAAAAGAAGGTTAAGTTAATAATTATGTCCCAAAATTACTGATTTATTTAGTAAGATAAACGATAACTTATTTAATGTTTACGTTAATGTACAGAAAAATCGAATGTGGCTAAAATGTAATAAGTAGTAAGTGTATACAAATGACTTAAGTAATAGTATTCAATATTTTATATCCACTAACAATTACTCCATTAATGCAGCCATTGAGACAAAGAGATTATTCAGATATTAAAATCGCTCAGAATGACAATAACAAGTTTTTGATCTAAGTTCATTGATTTACTGTAATTGATTAGTGACTAAGAAATATAGTAACGTTTAATAAATCTAATACAAAATTACAATTAAGACCAAATGAAAATGATATTGACCAGTTGCCAAACAAGTACATATAATATGTATATATGTACACTAATTCTCTAGAAAATAGCATCCAAAGTTAAATTATTTAATTTATTCGGTCAATTAAAAAAGAAGCCACTTATCATAATATGATAATAATATGAAATAATATGATTATTTTATGATTCAGATGTAAAGTGTAATGGTTTTGTGTGAAATATTTTAATAGTTGGTTTTGTTATTCATGCTGTATATATGGTATATTACTTTTAAGATATATTATGTTTCACAGATTGAAGTCACGAGTCAACTGAAGCTAGACCACCATGGAAAACCTGAAAGCACCAGACGGCCGTTTCGTCCTAGTATGGGACTCCTCAACAGTGCGCACCCATTATCCCGCACTCCGCGACAGTCGAACCCAGGACCTATCAGTCTCGCGCCAAGCGCTTGACCAACTAGACCACTAGAGTTCGAGTGAGAAGCCGTTACCTATGGAATTCAACCAGGTCTGTTGTGAGATATCAACTCACTGAAGACAATGGTATACGGTGGAGCAACTTCGTGGATTGGTTGAAGTTAGACATTAACACCATTGGATGCCGGCTCAGTGGTCTAGTTGGTTAAGCGCTTGGCGCGAGATTGACACGTCCTGGGTTCGAATCTCGCACGGGTGGGTTCGTGGATGTGCACTTCTGAGGAGTCCCATACTAGAACAAAACGACCGTCCGGTGCTTAGGAGTTTTCCATGGTGGTCTAGATTCAGTTGACTCATGGTTTCAATCTGTGAAATTTCTAAAATCTCCACAAACGCCTTCTGATATATTATATTTGTTATTTTAAGCCATTTAACATTAGGTTTAATTCAATTCTGTTTTAAAGACAGTGTTATAAACAACATTTTTAACATTAATGTAGGATTTTATATAGGAAAGTTTCATTTTAGGAGAAACAAGAACTCTCGAATATGATATATCTACAATGATATTCTGGTTTTAGTTTTATTTAAATTCATACTGAGATATTTTTATGGCCCTGGAATATCTGACTCTATATAGATCGTTTGCTGCTTGTTATCGAAATTTATATATCACCAATCCTCGTATATAATCATCGCGTTGATGAATACCAGAATTAAACAAGTCAAATACAAGAATGGATTTCGCATACATGTATTTCATACAATTGTTGATCCAGACAGACAACCAAAGAAACGAAGTGAAGAAAGTGAAAAGAAGAAAGCGAAACGCAACGGATCGACGAAAGCGTCTGAGCCAACTCAATTTAACCAAGAGAGAATCGATATTCATAATCAGACAAAAATAAGTTACGGACATGTGATGAAATGCACACACATACGTTTACATAAAAACAGTGGAAAATGTGAACACAATCAATAAAATAATTACTTAACAGCACTTTTTTTACTTTATTGTATTAAAAGATAGTATGTGTAGAAAACTTTTAATTATTATCAATATGTAGTAGCTGAACAATAATAACTAGTAAGTTTTGAGCAAAATAGTATTAAGAATGATCTTGTGCACATTGGTGATTAACTTCCACATACGATTCCAAGAGTTCAAATGAGAAACCACTACAGTTGGAGTTTAACAATCGTAGGTGAGAGACAACTATCCCCCTGAAACAATCGTAAACAGTTACGCAATATCGAGAATTATCTTCAGCTGGACATGTTAACTATTGGACTTCAACTCAATGGTTTAAAGTTTAAACGCTCGATACTAAACTGAGAGTCTTGGATTCAATCTCCTTCGAATTCATGAATGATTGATACCAGAAAATCTCATCCTAGGACAAAATAACGATCCAGAACATCCTGGTTGTTGGAGGTGTCTAATTAAATTCAGTCCGTGATGTAGACCACGAAAATTAAAATAATGTTTATAAATTAAAGCGAATGTAACTGTTTTGTCCCGAAAAGAATAATGAATGGTAATTTTGGGATTCTTTTGTGGACCAATACTAAACGTATATTTCTATTGTATAATTATTAAGTAACTAAACTATGCCTATTCATATTC